TCTTGCCACAATTTGAAGGCCCACTAATAACAGAACTAAAAGGATGCTGGAGCCTCGTGTCAAAAAGCTCTGATTTAAAATCCATAGGGTTTTGTAGAGTAGTCATCGAGCAAGCGACGTTTGTCGTATGTCACACGCAGTTTTTTAACAAGTGACCTGTTTTTGAGGTGAAAGCGTGTCTTATCTCTGGTAATCGTGTCAGATACTGTTATCAGATGTTCATCCGTCTCTCGATTAGCCATGAATTTATCTAACAAGTCTTTTAGAGAGTCGTGTGTCACGGTCTCTACATTTGCACCCCTCAAAGTCACACCTTTGCATTTGACTTGTTTGTCCCCTAGGGCCGTCTTGTAGGCATACGATTTAGGCCCTGTTGAGACAAATTCAGTAATGCTGTCTCCATTGCCGAGCTCATCGGTCAAATCACCTAGGAACCCCCCTGTGGGTGGGATCCACTCACCACTTTTAGCTGTGAATATGACAGAGTCTGTATCACAATATAGCACTCTGTCTTGAAGCTTGTCCAGAAGTTCATATAACATGAGCCTTCCGTAGGATGTTGTCATGGCCCCGATGAAAATGTTACAATCTTTTGCATGCGACTGGACCCCATTAGCATAGCGCCACTGTACTATAGCCATAGCATTGGAAATGAAGTGGAATTGGGTGACTTCAAAATGATCAGAAAACATGAGTTGCATAAAACGCGCAGGATCTGTCACCATCTCTGTATGCCCAAGATTTGAACGTTGACAGAATTTACCCCATAAATTAGTCAGTAACAATTTGCTACAGCTCCGTCGCGTCTTATTAGGTTTAATGTTGTGACGATCCAGTAAAATACCTTCACGTTCGTGATATTCAGCAATGTATTTCTCCTCATCCTCGGGTGTTTTCACATGATCAGGATATCCACTGGCTTCCTGTTTGCTTTTCAAAAACTTTTTGACATAGCCTTTAAACAGTTGATCTGATTTTTCAGCAAAATGCCACACTTCGTGAATTTTCTGTACAATGTAACCTTTTTCTACAGCTTTTAGCACTTCGGAAATAGGCCAAGTCCCTGTGAATTCTCGTTCTGTGCTAGTGTGATCACACTCGGTCATTTGATTCAATTCTGTGGCGCATGTTTTACATAGAATGAAAAACAGCTTGTCATGCATTTTATGGGGTAACACAGGATGTAACAGTCCTCTAGGCGGCAATACTACGCATTTTACAAATCCGAAATATGCTTCTAGTGGTTCAAAATCACCAATGATGATTTGTGGGTGACCTATGGGGTATTCTTTCCACGCTTGTACAGACGGATATAAACTTGTGTAATCATAGTAGAGTATTTTTACACCGTCAGACACCTTGTAATATAACTTTATGGCATTTGTACGACCACCATAAAGAGCATCACGTGGATTTAAACGCTCTGGACTTTTGTAATCTTTGAGAAATTCTTTCACAGAAGCATCTGTTTTAGTTAACTTGTTCCATTCACATTCCCCACATGACTACCACATTGGATTGACCTTTCAGGTTTTTTATTTTGTCAATGGTTGCAATGTAGAGATCACTAAAAGTCTTTTTAGATAGGTGATTCATCCCTCCCGGTGGGTAACACTTTTCATGTCCATGAATAAAGCACCCAAAGAACTCGTAACATGTGTTTGTAGAGGGGTTATAGCCGTCTACGTGATAGCGGCCCAATTTGCTTTTCACCCCCTTTGAGAGCGTGTTGTATTGTTAACCCTGTGGTTTTACAGAGGTATTCGAGCCATTTGATTGATCCGTCAGAGAAACACTTGTTGGCCCCGTTATAACAGCAGTCATATGTTAGAGCTATTGTGTTTTTCTCCAGGAATACCGTTTTGTAAACACCCATACAATAACTTGGGAGAGTTACAAACGTGTACGGATCCACCTCTGTTCCAGAGAGTAACATTTCACGGTAGAGCAGACAACCACGTCTGAGAACAGCTACGTCATTGAGACAATAGCGTTGCATTTCAAATTGTAGATTGAATTCTGTATGTTTCACACTGTCATACCACTCGTTGAATTTAACTTTCTGCGCTTGATCCATTTTGTCAACGCCGTAAAAGGCTGGTTCAGGGTAGGGGCCTATATAACACTCATTTTCTTTGGTGTTAAATAAATGAGGGAAATGACCCTTTTCTAGGTCATCAAACCCTAATGCTTCAGGTATACGTGCTAAACGCATAGGCAGAAAACTGATCGAGTCCAGCCATCTTTGCCTAAGTCGCTTGTCGTACATGCAGAGCACACGCGTGCCTCTCACAGTGAGACTAGGGGTTAGCCCCTGTCTCGCAAACTCTTCTAGGATTAAATAGTTGTCGAAAGCCGCTGCATTGTGTGCTATGAATGTGTAATCACGAAACTTTGGTGTTCTAAAATATTTCAACATTCGTTTAACACAACCATCGTGTGAAAAGTTATATTTATCACCATCCTGGTCAAGCGTACAGACTAAGACGGGGACATGCTTGTTACCATCGTACCTTGTCTCAAAATCATAAAAAATGTAGTTGGTTGTCTCTTGAACCACTTTTAAAGGCTTGATGTAACAGCTATGTTGCTTTTCACCACCTTCAGGGAGCTCAGCATCACAGTGGATGCATATTGGAATTTTACACACGTGTTTTTTAGCTGTGTTGTGATACAGATGTTTACATTCTTCACAATATGTCACAGAAAAGCAAGGTATTCTATCGTGGACGGGGTCAGGGAGTTTATGCTGATTAAAGCAGTGGGAAGATTTACAGATGCGTTTACATTCTGGACATTTAATTGTTTTGTTTTCCCCTGATGTCCCACACTGTGTGTAACAGATGTTACAAAGGTATTTACAGAGATGGTGCAAACTAGTACCGTATGGCTTGAGACAGTATTTGCACACATATGGACTCCCAAAGAACCCCGTTTTATTTTTGATATGATAGTAATGATTCTCATAAAGGTATAAGGCTATTGTGCATTCGTGCATTCTATCCTGTGTTTCAAATGATTGAAGACGTTTAGTCGGTGGATTGTTATGAAAAACAACAATTTTTATGTTCAACAGATTCTCAAACTTTGACACATCATTCAGTGTCACGTTTGTTTGTTGATCCAGACCAACTGCGGCTTGCCACTCTTTGGCTTTATCGAGTAATTTACTATGGGTATAGTTCGCATGAAATGCATGAGCTATACACATCGCAAAACACAAGGCATTTTCGGTATTGTGAGGGTTATAAAGAAATTTACCTTTCTTTAGCAATATTGCATCGTACGATATAGCACCAAGTTTGAGCCGCTGACCACTACCACCACTTTGTGAATGTGCTATACTTAATGTCATTTCATCTTCTATAATGGACTTGTCGTTACTTTGTAACACTTTTTCCACTTCCTCTAAAAAATGGTCAATATTGTAGTTATTGTCAGAGTTCAAAATAACTTGAATATCGTCACTAAGCGAGGGCCCTCGTAATGCAACATTCATCACACATCCTTGTTCTGCATTGTTTACAGCCTGTGTTATTAACCCTGTTAATTTTTCATTTACTCTTTCACAAGCCTTTACGGTATCTGTAGGGTCTATACCTCGAAAATCAATGTGCTCAGACATTACCGTGGTGTTAAACTCTGATATTACGTTAACATGGACCTCACCACCTGATTGTACGTTAGCGGGGACATCACTTTGTTCAGTAATCTGTACAACACCACCCACTTGTATGGTCTCGTTACCCTCATTAACATTACCCTCCAGGGGGTCTGACTCTGTGTGAACTATACAATTTCTTGAAACATTGTTGTGTCGACTTAAAACAGAGCTGCGTGTAGGTGGTTCGTCATTTTGCGTATCCATTTCTATAGTTTGACTATTAATACCTACACAGTTGTTTGTAGGTTGTTGTATTGTGGGTTGTATAGTATCTTTACTTATTGACTGTTTAACATTATCAGCATTTGAGGTAATGTCTGCTAGCGAAGCCCTTTCAGCTATGGTCGGTGCTATTAACCGTTCTGCAGCATGGGATGCACTTTGATGATTTGTACGAATTAGTCGATCAATACACGGATACGTGTTACGCGTTGTTTGATAATTAGTACGAATTAAACGTTCCACTGATGCATAAGTGTTAGAGCGCTGACCATAATTAATTCTTATTTTTTTAGGAAGTTGAGAGGGTGTTGTAGCGTTAGGTCTTTTAGTGTGCTTCACAATCGTAAGCATTTTCGATGGCTTTCAAATGAGAAGTGTTTTCATTGATTTGCTCTATAACAGCCGCTATAGACGTGCTCGCTTGGTTATCCACTTGTGCAATTCTATCAGCTTTTTGTTTCTAATTCCCTGTTGTGTATAGAGGCTTTCGTGTATTGAGTTTGCAATTGTAGGACCTCTCGTTGAAGCGCGCGTGTCTGTAGTTGGGCTCGTTGGCCTCTAGCGCGTAGTTTAGCTCTGTGTATGGTAGCGTTTGTACGCTGATTTTGCAACACCAACACTTGTTTAGTAACTTTTACGTGCTCAGTTTGAAGATGGTGAACTTGTCTCTTTAACTGATGTATTTCGTTAAGTATACGGGCCTCTGTGTATTTTACTTGCTGGCTCACAGTTGCTAGACACCTCTCTGTGTGTAGCTCTGCACTAATACAACGTGCCTTGGTTGACTTCAATTCCTCACGTATGTTGGAGAGCTCTGTTTTCACAAAAGTTTTTTCACTACTGGTATTTAACAGATGTGTGTTTTCTTGTAGAGTATTCACCTTTGGTGTTAAAGCATTCTTTACAGGCCCTTTTGCTGCATCAGGAGCTGCTGCGTGTCCAGGTTCAAAGTATTCCTCACGGTCCGGGAATGGTGTTCCTGCGTTTAATACATCTTGATCGTTGTTTGGTATACCTTCATCGCGTATAATGGCATCAATGTCGAGTGTCGCTATAAAATCGATTATGTTGAAATCCTGGTTTACTGAGGGCTGATTCTCTGTGTCTTCGTCACCCTCTGATGAGCTAAAATAGTGAGAAGAAAATTATAACCACTATCATTATAAAATTATAATATGTAACTCACCTTTTATCATCATCCCCGTGATTAGTTATTTTGTGTCCGTTGCGGCGTGATAGAATTGCTCTAGAAAAAAAATATATACCTCTCATAAAACTTGTTATATAAAGTTAGTATATGTACCGACTTACGGAGCTTTATGTTGATTTAATTTATGCATCAGGGGCATTGACTTGATGTTTAATTTACCTGTGCTGTATAAATGAAATAAAAGTATTAAACATCTGATTAAGACATTAAGGAAAATGAGATCTTACCTTATTTCATCCGTTGGCTGTATACCTCTCGTAACTTTTGCTGTTGGAGTTAAATCTTCATCGGTGTTATAATGTGTCAATAAACGACCCTTTCCTAGAGATAAACTAAATTAAAACATTTAATATGAATACTGAAAAAATGTTATAACTTACCTGTATTAGACATATTGCATAACCTTCTCTTAGACAGTCGCAAAGCGTTTGAACCATTGAAAAACTTGTAACAGACCTCCCACCCATTCTGATTTGTTGCTAGTACGACTTCCCAACCGCTCATCACTATCAGACACACACACGTGTCGTTAACAGGGAGGACCTGTAGATTAATTAGTTTATTGACCTAACTGCTTGTTTTAGAATACACCGTGATCATAAAACACTTTAGACAACTGTGAAAGCATTATCACACACACACAGGCCAACAGAAGCTAACTCTTTGAAAAACAAAGTGCAGTAACACCTTTCACCACTTGCTCAAGAGCGCCGTCCCCTTTCTGGGGATTTTAGGGTGCAGTACCACCTTTTCACCACTTGCTCTCTACCGCCGTCAATACTATCTACTGCTGCTCCATCATCTTCAGCAGCTGATACACCTTCCCCACCTACAGCTCCCGTGAAGCCTCCCCCCCATTGCTCCAGGCTACAGCAGACAGGCCTGTACTGGGGGCTCCTCAACCACCTCCGTCTCCACCAAAGACTCCCTCATCACCTTCCATCCATCCATCCATCCATTTTCTTCCCCTTAATCCATTTCTGGGTCGGGGGGGTGGCAGTCAGAGCTGCACCCAGTACACAGAGCACCAGCCCCTCACTGATCCTCCTGCAGGTGGTGAGTCCACAGGAGCTGAGATCTTTCAGTGGGAGCTTCAGGCAAAGTGGGGTTAAGTGTCTTGCCCAAGGACACAACGACAGCAATCATCAGTGGGAGTTGTGAAGTATGTCTTGTGGTGGGCTTGAACCCACAACCTTCGGGCTCAAAGGCCAATGCTCTACCAACTGAGCCACTGTTTTGTTTTGGGTCCCCCCTGCCACATCCACTCCATCTAGGGAAAATGAGGAAGACTTTTCCCTTTGTTTTCCATCCCCGCCTTCACTACTGGAATTACGGGAACACTCTGCAGGCATGATAAAATCGCAACTTCACCCACAAAATCCACCCGTCCCTCCCCTAACCCCATAACCATTCCAGCCCCACCCCTACCTCCCTCTCGTTTAGCCCACCTCTCCCCTAACCCTTAACCCATCACCAAGAACCCCTCCACCTCCACTCACTCCTCGTCCAACACCAAAGAACCACCCACCACTCCATCCTCTTCCCCTGCTTTCCCCTTCCCCTCTTATCACTAAACACTAGGATGCACAGGGTCTCTGCTTCGCAGCCACTGGCAGTCTAGGTAGAGGAGAGACCCAGCTGGGGCCCTGTCATAAGGCCACCTGTGCCATTTCCTTAGTGATAACACAAAGAATACATAACAGAAAAACATCTCGAGTTGATCAGTCTAATCTGTAAAATCTAATTCTTGTTCCGTGTATGAATCAGCTGACCACAACCGCTGACACTTTGAAACCTGCTATGCTTAATGTCAGATCCCTCTGTAACAAGTCTTTTTTAATCAATAATTAGGCCCGAGCCCCAACCGGGGTAAGGGCCTATTGCTTTTCCAACGAGTAATGCCTGGGTGACCCGCACGCGACGGCACGTGCCCAGACACTGATAAATCCGTGCCGGAGGCACGGAATGGCTTTGTTCCTGCTGCAGTACACAGTGAAATGATTAAAGTCCTATTAAAGGGGGGTTCCTTCAACTGTCTTATGGACGAATGTCCGGGCGCGCCAAGCCCCACGGCGCGTGGCCAAACACTGACAAAACAGTGGACACAGGCACTGAATGGCTTTGCTCCTGCTGTAGTACACAGTGTAATCAATGGGGTTCTATGGGGGGGGTGGGTGACCTCATGATGGCGAGGTGATTGACGAGCGCATTAGCGCTCGTCAATCACTGAGAACCCAATAGTTGCGTTCGTCTGGTCGTTCGCTTTAAAATTATGTATCATTTGTATTATAGGTTACTATGGAAACCTATATTGTTTTTGCTCGAAGATTTAAAAAAAAAATTCCTTATTTCTTTCTTTCTTTTTTCTTCTGCACTTTGAACCTTAATTTGACCCCCTGAACATTGATGAAAAGTTGTGAAATTTTGCCCAAAATTCAGAACCGGTGAAAAATTAATTTTTTTGGTGTTTATTTTTATGGGACAAAAAAAATGACAGAACAGCGCCCCCTACAAAAGTCAGTTTACATTGCGCCTATGGGAGGGGGTCGAAGGTCAAGTTTGTTGTAGAGCCACGAAATTCGGTACACATGTTCCTCAGGTCAAGACATGAAAAAAAAAGTTATTATGGCTCCGCCCCCTGACAAACAGGAAGCTCATTAATTTAATTGGAAAATGGAAAAATGAAAATTGATCTTTTTCACACATGTCGGTTGGAAATTATCTCCTCCTCGGCCGCTTCACCGATTTGTCTCAAAATCGCTCCACATGGTCTAAACCCATGTCCCATCTATTATTGAATATAGAATTTGGATCAATTAAACGTTGTCCGAGCAGCGGAGCGGAAAAATGTGACATTTTTTTCCCAATTTTTGACAAAAGTAAATTTGCTCCCGTTTGCACAAACAAAGCTGGATTTGCACCAAATTTTAATCCATCGTTCAGCTCCAAGGTCTAGGTCATCTGAAAGTGGAAATATTGAAATTGGCTCATTAGCGCCCCCTACAGACTATGTTAAAAATTTTACATGGGCTTTTTAAAATTTAGTTTTGTCAAAATGTTTGAAATTTTGCACATAATTCTGTGTTGTCATCTGGATTCAAAAAGTCAATGACAACGTATGATTATTTTTTACCCTGTTGCCATGGCGACGACCAACACTCCCTTGTCTGTGTCCATGAGAAAATCGTTAAATCTCTGAAAAGTACACCTCGCTCAAACATCAAACCACGGCCGTTTCCCTAATTTGTCTGAAAATCGCTCCACATGGTGTCCACACATGGACCATCAATAGTTGCATATAGAGTTTTAATTAGTCAAACGGTCTGAGCGTGACAGACCCCCAAAGTGTGGTCATTTTCATTGAGAGGTGTGAAGTTCCCATGTTATTCAATGGAGACTGTGTGGACACACTCACAGATTGTATGTGCTCCTGTTTGCACATACACAAACTCTGATTTGCACTAAACTTGACTCGGTTGTTCAACTCCTGGGCCTAGGTCACATGACAGTTTGAACAATGACATTTGCCGATTAGCGCCCCCTACAGTCTGAGTAAAGGTTTACATGGGGATACAGGTATTTAGGTTTTATGTTGTTTGATCTCATATTTGACCCACATAACAAACATAAAAAATCACCAAACTTTGCCAGAAGTTTTTTTCAGGCATAAAGTGTATTATTTTGGTGTTCTTTGGTATAACATTAAAAAAATTAAATTGTAGGGGGCGCTGTTGTACAACATTAAATGCCACCATTTGCACATACAAAGTCCGATTTGCACAAAATTTGAATTGATTGTTCAACTCTCGGGTTTGGGTAAACTGAAAGTGTTAAAGACGAAATTGCAGCAATAGCGCCCCCTACAGACTGAGTCAAGTATTACATGGGGAGAATGAGGTTTACCTTTTCAAAGACACAAACAATCACTAATCATAGGAAGTAAAAATGCACAGTGTCGCTCCCGTCAGGGTGGTAGGAAAATGGCGCGTCAGCGCCACCTCGGTTGCGTTGTGCGGCGAGGGCCGTTAGATGCCGCTTGCGGCTTTAATTATATTTGTTCTTATAATCTTGATCTTATGTTCATGGCTGAAACATGGCTTGACCAAAATACACCAAGCATCACCACCAAATTTCAAATTTGAATTGGAAATTTGGGAAAACCGAAAGGGGGGAAACAGCTGCAATTTTTTATAGACCACATTGTCTCCCATAGAATGCCTCTTGGGAAGTTTTCGTCATTTGAATATGTGTCTTTTAAAATACATCAAAAACAATTTCCTCCAATACTTTTCATTGTCCTATAAAAGCCATAGCAGTCATGTCACAGTTTTATTGATAATTGTACCGAGTTACTTCCAGTTGTATGCACAGATTTTGATAGTTTAGTTATTACAGGTGATTTTAATATTCATGTAGATAATGTTAATGACAGAAATGCAAAAGAGCTGAGTTCTGTTCTTGAATCCTTTGGTCTCACTCAGCACGTGAGTGGCCCCACCCACAGCAGAGGGCACACTCTAGACCTGTTAGTTACTAAGGGGGTGAAAATTTCAAATGTAAACGGGGTCGATGTTGCTCTTTCGGATCATTTCTGTGTTTTTTGACATGTGCTTCACTAGAAAACCACTGCAACTCTGCAACTGTTCGAAGAAGACACATACATGAAAATACGAGTGAACTATTTTTGGGCTATGATAAACTTTGAGAATGCATCGTGTTCTCCTGTAGATGAACTGTTTAACTCTGTCCCCTCTAATGTTTTGAATATTCTGGATACCGTTGCCCCTGTGAAGGTTAAAATAGTGAAAAAATAAGCAGAAGGCGCTGTGGGCTAAAGCAGACTCAGTCAGGGCACAAAAGAGATAGTGCCGGAGGGCCGAGCGGGAGTGGCACAAGTCCAACCTCCAGGTTGAGTTTAACCGGGTGCTACGTAGTGCGAGAGAAAGGTATTTTTCTGAAATGATTGAAGCCTGCAGCAACAATCTGCGTGCTCTGTTTTCAACAGTTAATAGATTAACAAACACCCCTGTTCAGCTCAGGAGAGCTAACTTCCAAACGTAAATGTAATGAGTTTGCACATTTTTTCAAAGACAAGTTTCAAGGCATCAAAAACGCCATTGTCTTCAATCCAGAGATAACAATCCAAAAGCCAGAAAGGCTCTTTGAGCTAACTCACTTTGCACCTGTAGATGATAAAACTGCCCAAGAGATAATCACAAGTCTGAGCTCCTCCACATGCAGCCTGGATGTACTACCCACTAGATTTCTAAAGTCTGTTCTGAGCGGTATGTTACCTTCACTCACACAGATGGTAAACATGTCCCTTCATTCTGGAATATTCCCAAAGGCCCTGAAAACTGAAGTTATCAGGCCTCTGCTAAAAAAAGAGCAGTCTGGATGCTACGGTACATAACAACTATCGTCCCATCTCAAATCTGCCATTTATGGGGAAAGTCCTTGAAAAAGCTGTGTACCAACAGCTTACTAGATTTCTTGTAATCAACAACTCATTTGACATGTTTCAGTCCGGCTTTAGACTAGAGGACTGGGTTGGTGTCGCTGTCACCGCCCTAAGTTGGTCTTACCTTGAAGACAAGAAATACTTTGTGGAGATTGGAAACTGTGTCTCAGATCATATGGCCCTGACCTGTGGAGTACCACAGGGGTCGATCCTGGGACCTCTTCTGTTCAATCTCTACATGCTGCCGTTAGGTCAGTTAATACGAAGAAACAAAGTTTCCTTTCTACTATGCAGACAACACTCAGATCTATGTCTCACTGACTGCAGGAGAACATGGACCAGTGGACTCACTCCTTCACTGTATCCAACATATCAGTGAGTGGATACAAAACCGCGAAATGATTATCTTTGGTCCCCAGAAACAAAGAGAGAGCATCATCTGTCACCTACAGTTCCTTTCCCTAAAACCATCAAACAAGGTCAGAAATCTAGGGGTAATAATCTAGAGCTGGAGGACATTGAGCTGGTGGACAGCTTCAAGTACCTGGGTGTTCACATCAACAATAAACTGGACTGGTCCCATAATACAAACGCCCTGTACAAGAAGGGCCAAAGTCGCCTCTTCCTTCTGAGGAGGCTGAGGTCCTTTGGAGTGAGCAGGCCTCTGCTCAGGACTTTTTATGACTCTATGGTAGCCTCAGCCATACATTACGCTGCCGTGTGCTGGGCCCCGGGCAGCACAGAGCGGGACAGGAGTAGACTGAACAAGCTGGTCAGGAGGGCCAGCTCCACCCTGGGCTGCCCCCTGGACTCTGTGGAGCAGGTGAGGGACAGGAGGGTGCTAATCAAAGCCACCTCCATCATGAACAACACCTCCCACCCACTGCACAGGACTGTAGAGGAGCTGAGGAGCTCCTTCAGTGGAAGACTGAGGCACCCTCAGTGTAAGAAGGAGCGCTACCGCAGGGCCTTTATCCCCACCGCCGTCAGACTGTATAACAAGTCACTTTAAGTCACTGCACTATGACTGAAAAAAAACCTGCACTACTATTGACACTTCTTTTGTACAATTCTTGAGTGTTCCTATCCTTGCCAATGTGATATGTAAATCTCTCCTGTGTGAGATTAATAAAGTCTTATCTTATCTTATCTTACTGGACTAAAGCAGATGTGGAGATTCTTATTCATGCATTTGTCTCCAGTAGGTTCGACTACTTTAATGGCCTGCTCGCAGGTCTCTCCAAACAGGCTGTAAAACAGCTGCAGTACATTCCAAATGCAGCAGCTCGAGTCCTGACAAGAACCAGGAAGTACGACCACATTAGTCCAGTTCTCAGGTCTCTGCACTGGCTTCCTGTGGCTCAGAGAATAGACTTTAAACAGCCCTGCTTGTGTACAAGTCTCTCCATGGCCTTGCACCAAAATATATTAGTGACATGTAAGTCCCATATGAACCAGCCCGGACTCTGAGGAGCACAGGGACTGGACTCCTGTTAGTGCCCAGAGTCAGGACTAAACATGGGGAGGCTGCATTTCAGATTCATGCTGCTACAATCTGGAACAATCTTCCTGAAGATGTGAGACAGGCCTCCTCTCTGAGAATGTTTAAAACCAGGTTAAAAATAGTTCTGTTTAGCTGTGCATACAACTGAGGGATTTTATATTTTTATCTTTCTTTTTAATGTACTGTGATTATTTATGATTTTAATGCTCTTTTAATTTTAATCTTATTTTGTTCAGCACTTTGAGTTGCCTTGTGTATGAATTGTGCTATACAAATAAACTTGCCTTGCCTTGCCTAAAAAAACATTCATGCGAGTGGTTGTAGATTCAATGTGGGAGCGGGTCCTGGCAGAAAAATGTCCAAAATGACGTGCGCTGACACGCTTGCTTACTCCACGGGCCGATGGGGATGGACCCGGAAAAAGAATTAGCCAATGCTAATGTATAGCATCTTCTTACCTCTTGAAAATGGCTTTACAAGATGGTCCAAAAGTCGGCTTTCAAATGTGTGTCAATGCTGTGGGGAGTAAATATTTTTGGACCAGTCTAACTTAGTTGCTGTGGAATTTTGACGGCACTCCTGTGGCAAAAGTGGTGGCACATTAGCTTAAACAGTGGAGATAGGCTTGACTATGTCAGTTAATATTTAGTCCATGATCGTAACGTGCACAGTAGAACTCTACAACCTGAAGCAGGAGAAGGCTGGTGCGACGCAGAGACGGAAGAGCAGATGTAAACAAAGACGCTACTCGAGACTATTTATACTATCTGTATGCGCCCTCTTTTGGACAGAATTATATTGGCCAAGTCCAGCTTGCTACAGCTGCAAAATTGGATGTGACACATCTGAAATTAAGACAGAATTCATCTTTATTTGAGTATATTCTGTCAACAAAGATTTCAACATGGGCCGAGTCGCTTCACTGTAAACATTCTATCATGAATAAACATGACTGAAGCTGCTCCTAGTGGCACAGGTGCAAGCCTGATCCCAGCAGATCTCAGAAGATAAGCAGGGCAGGGTCGCTTTGGCTACAGAAGTAGTTTATTACCACCGTGTACACAGAGTGAAGCGTCTTTGGGTGTCCTGAAAAGCACTGTGCATTATTATAATCACTATGTAAGTAATGTATTGATACTAAATTAAACTGGAAAAATGTGCCACAACATTCTCAACATTCTGGACTCATGAAGACCTTCTGATGTTTGAACAGGAGCCCAGACCACCCACATAGAAATTATAAAACACATCAGCAGCTCAACAATTTTTAGAATTGACTTAAGTGACAGCTGTGGCTCTACGCATTTTGTGTGGTGTGAATGAACAAACCATTATTATGCCGCTATGTCCATGAAAACACATGAAAAGTGCATTCCTCAGCTGTCCTTGTGCTGACCTGCTTAATGAACTGGTTCAATACTGTAGCTGCTGCTCATGATAAATTAAAAGGCGGCAGTAGCTCAGTTGGTAGAGCGTTGGCCTTTGAGCCAGAAGGTCGTGGGTTCAAGCCCCGCTCAAGACTTTCACCATCGACTCCCACTGACTACTGTTGTTGTGTCCTTGGCAAGACACTTAACCTCTGGGAACACCAGCCACAGTGGGGCGGCTGCGGCTGTAAAGTGCCAAACTGCCGTTGTGTCCTTAGGCAAGACACTTCACCCCCATTGCCTAGAATGAGTCTGGTGTGTGTGTGAATGGTTGGTGGTGGTCGGAGGGGCCGATGGCACATACTGGTTGCCTCGCTTCTGTCAGTGTGCCCCAGGGCAGCTGTGGCTACATTAGTAGTTTATCACCACCGTGTTTGGAGTGAATGAATAATGACACATGTGAAGCGTCTTTGAGTGTCCAAAAAAGCGCTATATAAAACCGATGCATTATTAGTTTTTGCTTTACTGAAATAGTGTTTAGTTTCCTTACAGTGAGCACTCTAGCCTCTCCACAGATCTAACTTGTAACGTACCAGAGTGACGTCACATGCTTGGTTAAAAGAAAACAAAAGAAAACTGTTTGGGAAAAGCGTAATATATGTGTAGTGGTACGCGCATACCCACTGGCGGCCAATCATGCTGCGGCAGAGCCTTGATTACGTGAAATAGTTTCACCTGTCGCTCTCTCTCCTCACCTCTGGCGTCCGCATGCAGCGTAGCGGTACTCAAAGCAGAGCCATGGAAAAGGCTCATTAGACCGTCACCGAAATCGTATATCATAGCTTTATAGCCGTAAGCCTGTGGCTTAAATGCAGCGTGGCAATCTTCTTGGCTTCTTGTGCTGGCGTGCGGGCCGTCCTTACTGCTTGGCGTTTGAGTAAATTGCCCTTGCGGTTTCTGTGTTAGCGCGCAGGCTGACTCAAACTTGTTGTCCCCAGATTTAGGGCGCCTCCTCGGCAGCTGTGCGGGCTTTTGGGCTGCATTTATTCTCTGCAGCCTTGTATACTAGAATATCCCCATCTTGTAGTGCGCCTTGCCTGAGTACAGGGCACCTTCACGCTGCACTCTAAAACTGAGATCTTGCATTGATCCGACGAGCCTCCCCTTCAGAGCGGACCCCTTCAGAGCGGCCCCCTTCAGAGCCGTCCCCTTCTGAGCGGCCCCCTTCAGAGTCTCTCCTTTGGGGCCTCCACCTCTTTGTGACCACCCCTGGGCCACACTCACCCAGCTTTGTGGGTTGTCTTCTCCCTGACAGACTGGTAATGTTCGTCCCTTCTCCTGCCACTAGGAAGCTTAGTGAAGGCAGGGGTGTTACAAACTGCTGCTGCTGCTTTCTCCCTGGGGTTACTGTCGTTATTTTTTTGGGTTGTGACCGATTGGTTTTTGGGCTTTAACGTATTATAATGTCTGTGCAAAAGTGAAAATGACTCGTTTAAACAAATTGTGACAATAAAGAAATCATTGTTTTATAATACTGTCTCTCGTGCTCTTCAGTCCAGCGAACCTGTGTTGCCTTACTGCGGGGGTTATTTTGTGTGGTCCTGGAACCATCTCTTCAGGTAGTGTTGCTGTTAATTTGGCTATTATCTTAAATATTGATTATATTCTGTTGTACCCTACCTACCATACCACTACACATGTACTAAAATGTATAGGTTTCTTATTTTGACAATTAATATACAGGTGTAATTCAGAAAAGTGTATATACTGTTTTTCAATTTACTATGTGAAACTAATATATGACAGATTCTTCACACATAAATTGAGATATTCAAGCCTTGGTTTGTTATAATGTCGATTACACTGAAGATGCTGGTCCTGGGTCACCTCCACTCCATGGTGAACTCAGCAATGGACTTGCTGCAGTTCGCCTACAGGCCAGAAATTAGGGTTTAGGACACCGTCATGACTCATGTCCCTCCTCCACCACACACTGTCCCACCTGGAAAAGCCCGGCTCTACAGTGAGGATTTTCTTCTTCAATTTCTCCAAAAGCCTTCAACACCATCCAAGCTTCTCAGGCACAAGCTGGTGACAGCTGGAGTGGACTACAACCTGTCTGAGTGGACCCCAGTTTATAGCCAGAGAGGATTACACACACAACACGGACAGTTGTGTCCTACACAACACAGACAGTGGTGTCCTAAAGAAGTTCTCTGACGACTCTCTGACTTTGTGGACAGGTGTCTATAGACTTATCCACCCTCGTTGTGTGAAGAAAAGGTTCTGCAGGTCCTTCCTTTCTGCCGCTGTCAGACTGAGAACTGAGCCTGGGCATGCGCCATTCACCTGTTCTGACAATCCACTAGTCACTTTTACTAGCCACTTTATTACTGCTATTATTACTGCTATTATTACTACATTATTAGGGGTAAGGTGAATGCAAAGGGTCGCGGTGCGTGATGAACGCGTCAGTGCCCGTCACTCACCAAAACATGGTGGTTGCGTACGTAAACTCAAACGCCTTAAAATGATGTATCATGTGGCTTTGAAACCCATATTCTTTGCAAAAAAAATTCTGCACGTTGAACCTTAATTTGACCCCCTGAACATGCATGAAAACTTGCCAAATTTTGCCCAAAACTCAGAACCGGAATTTTTTGGTATTTATTTTTATGGGACTAAAAAAATACCAGAACAGCGCACCCGTAGAGGCACAAAATTCGGTACACGGTAAGTCAAGACATGAAAAAAAAGTTATCATGGCCGCGCCAGGGTCATTTGAAAGTGAAATAATAGAGGTTGGCCCATCTTTTGAATGCGCTGAAAAACGGCAGCAACTCCTAAGTAACTCTGAAACAGTTGTTGTTTTGTGCTTTACAAAAAATGTTCTTGCATTTCTCTACCTGAGAGGTTGCTGCAGTACAGTGTTCATGGTTTTTAACTGGTCCAGACCGGAGCGGAGAGGATTCATGGTCTGAACCAAGCGGATCAGGTGAAAATTCACTGGAGGAATGCTAACTTTTTGAAAAATGCTTATCCTGTTCCACCCAGAGGCTACTCCATCTCTGCTGCTGTGACCCGTCCTGCTCCACCCAGAGGCTACTCCATCTCTGCTGCTGTGACCTGAAGGGCTGTTGCTGATTATTACTATTGTAAGCTTTTTAGAATGATCAATTTTATTTTTTATTTTTGCTGCTACTGGCTCACAACTTGTAAAACTATGAATACAATTTCTCAGAAAATTTGATTATTTTTACTGTAAGCCATAATCATCAAACACAAGATGTGCATGTCACTCTATATATTGGTTTCACTTTTTAAGTTGAATTACAGAAAGAAACTTATATTTACTTGTATTTACTTTTTGAACAATATTCTAATTTCCTGTGTTTTACGTGTATACTTATTGGTCCAACCATTCATATTATTAATGAGCCCAGCTCTAAACACATTTTTTCACAAAGTTTGTTAGAAAATTGCAAATAGATATTTTTGCCAAAATAGTAAACAAAGCCAACGGTTAAGTATTTACTTCATCATTTACATAATATTTACAGATTCACATAGCAAATAGTTATTTCAAAAGGGGAAACATGCTTAAAATAAGACAAATTCCATTGAAAAAATATATGAATATAATTTTTATAATATATATATTAATATATTTCTTGAGCCATATTCTTAAAACCCAAACTTCAAGAATCAATAAAATGCAAATGAAAGCAACTAATCACCCATTGTTGCTCAAGATGAGGTTGGTGATGTTCAGCTCTGTAAAGGAATCAGACTCGACCCGGGACAGATGGTTCCCAGTGATAATGAGGGTCCGCACGTAACCAGGGAAAGTTCCAGGCAGTGATGGAAGTCCTGTAGAGACACATTTCACCGAGAGACTGGCCACAAAGCATTCACAGCCGGGAGGACACTGGAGACACTGGGCACCCCCAAACAGGAGCCCCAAAAACACACACACACAAAAACACATCCGTTCAACAAGCGCTCTCTGAGAAGTCATGTTTAGATCTCTTGTGAGCAGCCTCTCCTCATGTGCTATGCTGTAAACTGAGGCGTCTAGGCTCGTAACACAGTCTAAGGGAGAAAGCTGTGCGTCTCCTTAAAGGCACAGGGGGACACCAGGGCAACAGCAGCCACCACTATCTGCTCAAAACATACCTTATTTCGGTTCGGGCGGCACGGTGGCTGAGTGGATAGCACTCTCGCCTCTCAGCAAGAAGGTCCTGGGTTCAAATCCCGGCCGGACCAGGGCCTTTCTGAGTGGAGTTTGCATGTTCTCCCCGTGTCTGCGTAGGTTTCCTCCGGGTGCTCCGGTTTCCCCTACCACTAAAAATATGTCCAATAGTTCTAGCATGCGCCTCCTGTACTGGCGACCCCACTCCCATCTCTGTGTGGAGTGAGAGACAAATGCCCATAATTAACAATTGTAAACCGCTTTGAGACTCAGATCTGCAGTGAAAAGGCGGTATATAAATAAAAACTTACTTACTTACTTCATTTTTGCCATTTTAAACACAATCTTGAGAATATTTAATCTTTTACAGTATGTTAAAGCTGGGGTACATAATGTATGATGAATACTACATATTGTCTTGTAAAAGTGAAATACTGTGAACAATTCAGATCAAAACATGCTTCATCTTTTTAGAAAATATGTAATCTTCTACATACTAAGAAGAGCCTTGTGAGTCGATATTTGACTCACAGAGGCCCTCATTTATGAAACTTGCGTGCGGCCAAATCAGGGTGTAAATGAGGCGTACTTTTCAGCATTTATCAATCTGGACGTGAGCGTACGGTACGCACAGAATATACGCCAAGTCAGTAGGTGGTGTAAATGTGTACGCTCATCTCAACCTTAATCACAACACGCCAAAACACGCATGAAATTCAAGATTTGGACAACAATAAACACATTCCCACTCTGGCAAAATTATAAGCTGCGTTTTCATTGAGGATCACATTTCGAAATTTGAATTTGGCATCAGAAAATGTGTAATAGAAACATGCAAACTATGAATGAATCACAGTGCATGATGCTTCTGTTTCTTCGTTTTTAAATCTGACTTTTTTTAAAAATGTGAAGTGGTTTGTAATCCTGGTCTGTGAAAGGCGCTATACAAATACACTTGACTTACTGACTAACTCCGTAAATCTGTGGCAGACCCTGGGCTGCGTAATCACGCATTTGTTTTTTCCCATTCACCTCTGGCAAAGCAATGTCTTTTTTCCTTAGTTTTGTGCATAAAGCCCCATAAACACACGATTGTCTTGCTCACTCAAAACGTTCTCAGCCACTGCCCTGTATTCCACATGTAGCAAGTTTATAGATAGGATGCAACGCACTTTTCTGTAGGAACGGGCTCATGGCAGTGGCTCTGGGGCAGTGCGCAGCAGGTGCCAGGAGAGGTGCCACCGCATCACTGCTCAAATGTGCTGCGCGCCATTCAGACATTTTGATCCAGAGATTATCTGTGAAATCACGGACACTTTCCAAAAGCTTCTCATACGCATACTTTCTCTCTCACAGAGATTGCTCAGACGCTTCAAGCGGTTAATGATGAGAGCCACCGCTGAGGCGGAGATATTAACATTAATTCATTAATTCACTCACTTCTAAAGTTCAAGAGAGATGAGTGCTGCAGTGGGTCTAGACAGTAGGGAAAAAATGTGTGTGTATACAGTGCCTTACGAAAGTATTCGGCCCCCTTGAACCTTTCAACATTTCGCCACATTTCAGGCTTCAAACATAAAGATATAAAAATAAAATTTTCTGTCATGAATCAACAACAAGTGGGACACAATCGTGAAGTGGAACAAAATGTATTGGATAATTTAAACTTTTTTAACAAATAAAAAACTGAAAAGTGGGGCGTGCAATATCATTCGGCCCCCTTGCGCTAATACTTTGTAGCGCCACCTTTTGCTGCAAATACAGCTGCAAGTCGCTTGGGGTATGTCTCTATCAGTTTTGCACATCGAGAGACTGGAATTCTTGCCCATTATTCCTTGCAAAACAGCTCGAGCTCAGTGAGGTTGGATGGAGAGCGTTTGTGAACAGCAGTCTTCAGCTCTTTAGAGAGGGGTAGTGGGGGGCGAAAGCTGAGAGAGCAAGGCCATCGCTCGCATTTGAAAATGTCTCCAAATCAGTTACTGCAGCTTTAACTGTAGCGTTCCCATCCTTTTCACTGGCCGATAATCGATACATTCCATCTTTGGTAGCCAGTCAGAAAACACACTGGTAAAGATTCATTTGAAGTGGTTTTATTGGTACTAATACAAAACCCTAAAGTCAAACATTCTTTCAAGTGTTAGCTGCACTGAAA